ATGCTTTTACTCCATTTAGGAAAGTCACAGCTGTGAATTTAAGACGAAGAACAGCAACAGAAGCGCAGTTCCTATGCTCTCAGTTTCATCAAATGTTTGTAGGATTTTTTTTGGTCATGAATTAAAAATAAACCCTTTACAACTGTAAATCGAGAAATTATTTATCTCTTATCTGTACCATTGTCGCAATATAACATGCATATTTTATTGTTTATTTTTCCATTGAAACAACTTCCATTTCTGTGTAGCAAGTATCACCCGTCTTTCCTCGTTCATCATTAGACTGGTTCCCTGTCCTTTATCTGTTTGGCTCTGACAACAAGGTTGACTAAGATACCCGTATGTTGCAACGTAGAGAACTAGCATATACGTTTAAACTGGTCCGCCATTCCACCTAAAGCTCCGCTCCGTTAGTGCAGCGATAAGTGGACACAACAGGTGTCCAGTTTATCATACGTACATCATCAAATGCGACTTCACACTTTTTATATTGGCATTAATAGATTTTTCTTTAACTTCTGTAAAAAGACTTCTGGGTCAAAGATTTTCAAATCTCAAATCTCAGAAAAAAAAATTGGGGGTTACGGCCCTTGTGTTTTCTTTAAATTACATTGAAATTCACGAAAACAGTTATTTTATATGGGTTGTATGAGGAACATAAGTTTTCCTAAGTTAAACTGAGGAAACATTTAACGATATTATTGGTTAACATTCAATGAGAGGATTGCTTTTTGATAAATACTTCCGAAATAATAAATACATTTGGGGGCCACGGGCCTTATTTTCTTGCAAAATAATGAAAACACAAATTGTCCTATCAAATTCAATATAATTATCTGCCCTTGATTTTAAAAGGTTCTATACTACTAAAATAACGAGGTCATATTTGTTAGCTGGCATGACGTAAACACAACGAATCAAAGAATTCAACTTTATATATAACTATCTATACTACTTAAATAACGAGGTCCAATTTGTTAGCCGACATGACGTAAAAACGACGAATCAAAGAATTCAACTTTATATATAACCAGAAGTCCTGGACTTCTGATATAACTAATATAGAACAGTGGTGTTGATTACAAATTACACCATTCCTAACCCGAATAATTCAGTCGTTATATTCCACGGCTCTACGATGCTCTCGCGAGTGGGAGAGTCAATCACGGGGAGGGACTGAATTATTCGGGTTACACCATTCCAGGCTCTTTTGTTTTCCACAATTAATTACCGAGTCACTTGAGACTCGGGACTAATTTATCATACGGTGCACGTCACAATGGGGTAAATCTATTAAGGGATTCTCATTGGTAAATATTAGCTTATTCCGTATGATGTAAAGGCTTTCTTAAGATCTGATTGGTTAATATTGGGGTGCATCTATTATATGTGAGCATATCCGTAAGTGAGGCCGGAAAAAATCATGATAGTAGGTCATTAAAATGACAGTGAAGTGTTCAATCAAGTTGATAGTGAAGCATTGAATCAATATTTTAATGACGCATGGTCAAACGCAAAAGATTCAAATTAATTGGGTTTTGTTCTGTCTTTAATATGTAATTGTGTTTGCATCAGATATAAATATTATTTAACTTTCGTATATATAACTAATTTGTTAGTGTATTATAGATCCGTTCGTCAGTTACAGTTACAGTTATCACTCATGCCTGCGTATCGTTATACAGGATAATAGACTCATAATAATATTACACACTTATCTATAAATAGCCGAGACGGCGATTTTGTTTTAAGGTGATTAAAATGCACACGTAGCGATTTAACTAATTTACGCTATTTCAAGAAGCACACTGTCGTGATTGTGCAGAGCCATTTACAGATGTTACTGGCGTTCATAAACATGTAAATATGAAGGATCGCGTATGCTTCTGTTTGTAGTTAAAGATAAGTATCTATACACTGATATAATTCAAAAGCATAAACAAATTCTGAAAACATGTATCTTCAAATCACTTATTTTCAATTAATTTTATTTTTCTTTTATCCCGGGTCTATAGAATAGTATAGAATAGAGGTGGGTTGATGTAGACATGTGTCGAATTGCCTATCACTCCAACGTCCAGCACGGTACAGTAAAGTTCTGACGACAAAACGGTCAACTTCTAAGGTCAACTTCCAAAGGGGAAAATAATAAGACTTGATACGATTAATACAGGTAACTTTTTCTGGAAGGAAGGGGTATTTTACATACATAGGCGTCGGTACAGGTCCGGTTACTTGGTTTTCTCAGTCCGTAAGGTGTTTTGAAAGCAGATATATATTTATATACATGTACAAATATTTAAAGCGTTGCCATAGTTATTTGTGTAAATAAAAGGATATGTAGGATATTATAAATAAGACAGCAAATTTACAAAACAAAAAATTATTGTGGACAATTTTACAGACTTTCAAAAATATGCAATCAACACAAAATCCCTTAAATGGCAAAACTAAAATACACAAATTTAGGAGACCTTAAAGGAATGAACAGGAACGAACTCCGTTTGCTAACATCTGAGAAAACAATAATCACAGCTTCATGTACATTTTGTATTATAATGTTCTGACAACAAATGGTATATAGTTGAACTTTGATCGATGCATGTGAATAGTGCTGGCGAATGTTCAAAACCATAGTTTTAGTAAATATGTTTTGCCATGGTTCAGAAAATTAGCCAGTCAGAAAAAAAAATAAGAAGATGTGGTATGATTACAATGAGGTAAATATGAGACAAAATGACGTAGATGTAAGAAATATACATCAACCTACGGCATTTAACAATGAGAAAAACTCATACTGCATTGCATGCATGCTATTAAAGGATCCAACATGACAAATGGAAAAAAATTCAAACGACAAAACCAAAGGCATGTCATTGATTTATGTACAAAATAATTATAAACGAAAAGCAAAATTTTAATGTAATACACAACAACAAACGACAACCAATGAAATCCAAGCTCATGACTTTGCCACAGCCACACATCGAACTTGGCGGGTTTCACCATGTTTGCGGGTGCCCAACCCACCCCTAACCTGGGACAATGGTGTAAAAGCGTAACATACTTCAATAAAAGCGCTGTACTTCAATACTTGCTCATGGTTTTCGATAAACAGATTGTAGGATTTTGTATTTGTATATGTGTTTGTACATATAAACTTGTTATTTAGTCGATTTGAAAAGCTCACTAGAGCCGGTGTTGACGTAATCTGATTCCTGGATATCCACTTTACATAAAACCATAAATTCAATTGGCCGTTTCAAAATTTAAAGGATTGTTGGTAATTTCATTGTTCGTACCCTAAAATGAAAATTACGTTACGTCATTGGTTCAATTCCCATTGTTTATGATGTTTTAAGCCTATCACAACGTTTTGGTGTACGCTTGTGAAAATATTACCCAGAATTCATTAGATTCTGAAACGACGAATTGACAGACTATGTGGCGTAGTTTGTGAACACTGGGTCTTTCTCTTCATATCAGATGCCTCGTTTAGGGAGAGTGCTAAGCATTCTGCACGTTGATTAACCCTTGCAACAACCCTTTGAGTTGTCGACCAGTAAATAAAGCCAAAGACAATAATGTAAAAGCAAAAACGCTGCAACATACCGTTGAAATTACATGAAAACGGACTTATCACACGAGGATAATTTCTTGTAAGACAACAGAGTAGAAATATCTAGCTTTACTCAATAACAAAAAGGTTCTACTATTCTTTTTTTGGTGTACTATGATTTCAATTAGAATTCTTCCGAACGGATATACAAAAGCTTTTCACAGGATGTAGGACCATAAGTCTGAATATCAGGATAACAAAAGCTTTTGTATGCATGAGGGTATTAACAATTGTTTGTAACTAAAGTATTACGATGTGGTATCACTAGTGAAGTAGAGAATGCGTACCCTTCCGCACAACCCGAGTTCATCCCCGGTTTGTTTGTTTTTCAGTTGAGTTCCTGTTGTCCAATCTCGTTTTCTTAGGTAGTGTTTTTTTAACAGTTGTTTATTTTTTCGTCGTTTATATTATGGTCATGATGTTTTCTGCCTTTTTTATTTGTGGTTTTGCTTTCCCCCTTTTTGTATCTTCTCCCTTTTGGTACCGATTAATACGAAAATAATGACCTTACATCAATGGTCTTTTTCAATTACCTTCTTTTAAATAAGTAGACTTATGAATAGTTTTACCATAAGAAGTGACGTGGTATATATTCCTTTTAGGGATGTCAACGAGCACTCGAGTACTCGAGTATCGCTCGGTAGTACCGAGTATCGAATACCAAAATGATACTCGACTAATCGGTTTCCTCTTAAAATGTTGTTTTCTTAAGCTTAAACAAAAATATTTTTATTGAGAGCGCCTCCCGAGAAATTAAATATTAAGCAAAATTAATAAAAATTAAAATATGATTCGAATGTTTGCGTTTAACTGTCATTTAAAATTCCTCCAAACAGAGGTAGGCTATGAACAAGAGCACTTTTCCAAGGCTTACACTTTTAGCTTATCTTAGTCATTCTTCCACCTCTGTACCGTCAGATCATATATTTTCATCGGCAGGAATGTTAGTTACCTAACAAAGTTGAGAAATTGCCTCGTCCAAGAAGATACCAAAGGGACAATCAAACTCAAAAGTCGAAAATAAACTGACAACGACATGCCCCCCCCCCCCCCCCCTCCTCCTCCCCCTAAAAAAAGAAAAAGACCAAAAAGACAAACAACAGTTCACAAAACACAACATAGACACCAAAGACTGAGCAAAACAAACGAAAACGAAAACCGAGCGGTGAGATCAGGTGATCCGGAAGGATAATTTATTCTAAATTGTTTTTGTTTAGCCTTTGAGCTGTAATAATTTGTTATACTTTTTACAATCTTTTTGTCAAATTTCAAGTTCATATAATTTGACAAAATTTATAAATTCACCTTTCAATTTATAAAAATATCTTTCATAAAAGAGGAAATAGTTATTTATCATTTTCATAAAAGAAAAAATACAACATTGTTGCACATCTTTTAATTAGATATTCAAATGTGTTAGATAAAAAGTTTTTTTTTCATGCAGAACATATAATAAAATGTTTCAGTGTTAATAAGTTATAGCCATTCATGTTAAACACGATATCGTCATAAAAAGCTCAATGTACATTTCTCAAACACACCACTAAACATGGACTTATGGCATAACAAGTTCAAGTACTAGTAACAGCTCTCGAACACACTACACATGGAATTTCGGCATTATCTGTGTACGTAGAACATGATAATGAACCACATCTAATTTCAGTTAAATAAAGCAGACCTTGGTTGTTCGAGGTTGCCCCTGCATAACTGGCAGCTTTGTCTAGGCAGATGTAAGATTTGGATGTAGTACCGTCAGTTGAATCGGAAGCCAAATAACCACCGTACTCTGAAGCGTAACCTGAGGGACAGGTGTCCAAACCGGCTACCATAAATACAGATTTACTCGAGATAACTTGGCAGACTGTGCAATCTATTGTGCTCTCATCATTACTAATATCAATAACCGAGGTAGAGTCTATGGTATCTAATTTTATCTCCATGCCGTATATATATCCTCGTTCTGAGTTTTCTGTACCGCTTTTAGTGTCATACGTCGGAGTCGACGTCAGGCATTGATAGTTACTTCCTGATCCGCTGCCATCATGCTTAGCCCCAGCCATGATACCTATAACAAACAAAAAATGATATTTTATAAACTAAATAAAGTATGGTTTGATTTCAGTATGCTCATCAATTAGCTGTTTCATATCCTAACGCATTTTGGGTAATATTTCCAAAAGTGTACACCGAAACGTTGTGACTGGTTCTAAACGTTATAAACAATGGAAATTCAACCTAATACGTGACGTTATTTTCATTTTGGGTACAAACAACGAACCTTCCTATGTCATTTGGATTCTGAAACGGCGAATTGCTTCATAAATACTTTTGGAAACTAGAGAGAGTAAAATTGAAATCATCTTTCCAGTTTGGTTTATTATGTAAAACAAGAACCGGTAAAACAAGATATACATTTATATCATATTTGAAGACTCGTATACAACAAATCCTTCAAAATGTAAGATGTCTAAAATGATTGATTTTACGGGCAATCTTTCAACTATATTAAGGAAAATTATGAATATGGACTTTCTTTTTACTAAAACACAAAACTAATGAAATGTTCATATGTATAACACTTAAATATACAAAGTACAACACAAAATAATAAATGCCAAATGACAGAAAACGGCGATCAAAATGTTCTACCTATAAGGCCTCTCTCTGCAAATGGTTATTGAAAAAATACATCATCAGATAAAGTTTGAGTGATCTCAGAAATGGCTCCCTATAGCCACGCAAATCTTATTTCCCATTTACATTTTTGAGTGGGAATCTTTTTCTTTGTTCACATCCTCAAATAGTTCTCTACATTTGTGTAGAGTGTCATACGCTGAATATCAAATCAGTCTGTCAGGAGGTGTTGCACTCACTAGGCATATAAACAGACAGATGGACGAACAGGGGATTCCTGCATATTACACAAATGTTGTTTACTAAGGTATGAACACTCATTGGCGTAGCACTAGTGTAGCATTGTAAGCATATGCTTACAAATAATTTTATAAAACATTTTTTTTCAATAAGTATTTTACTATAATCGGTCAGCTTCTGGTGGGGGAGGCTGCCCCCTTCCCCAAGAACCCCAGCTTACAATTTAATCTTTTAATTGTTTTAATGAATCTATTTTAATGGTAAAACAATGGGACCAACGAATTAAAGATGATCACTATCTTAAAATAAAAAATATAAACCAATGATTTGTATGTTTTGCTTAACTTTCTTATTTCCATGAAACTAGTTACATCTTAGATTCCAAATCTAAAATGTACAGAGTGTAAATAAAATGCAACGAACAAAGTCTTTTTTTTTCATTTTAAAGTTCATAACATTAACGGGTACCATTTTACCGCACCAGATGCGCATTTCGGCAATTAATGTCTCCAGACCAACATATTTGAAAATCAAAAAGCATATTCAAATTACCAATTCTCGAATGCCTGTCCACAGAATTTTGTTTTAAAACGATATTGTATATCGCTCTGATCATTTCGGTTTTAATGATATAAAAATGTACACGAGGTTTTTAGTTGTAGTCTTAGAAGTCGAACTCCTTATTAACACTGAGGTTGTCAGTTCGAGTCCCGCGCGTGGCAGGTGCGCTCAACTCCAATCTTAATTGATTAGGATTGTCAGTTTTCCTACCGGAAGTCGGGGGAGGGGGGGGGGGGGGCTAGGACAAAATTTGAAAAAAAAAGGCAGGACAGGAGTTTTGGGTAAAAATAAAAGGCAGGATGAGCAACTTGGCAAAAAAAAAAGGCAGGATAGAAATTACAACTAAAAAAAAAATACAGGAACAATTTTTTTTTCATCCTAGCCCCCCCCCCCCCCCCCCCCCCCCCCCCCCCATAAAAATCAAATGGTAGCTCCCTAAATCATAAATGAAGTGAACAAACATTTGACCTTTGTAAACAACTGCTGCTGTGACTGAACAACCACTGGCTCCATAACGTGTGTAGACTGGCCCGGTTGCTACAATTAAAAAACAACATCTTATTAATTAATTACGCATTAATTTTTATTTATTTTTCAGTTATTTTGAGTTCTTGCTGAATGAAATAAACGATTGTTCTTGAACAGTATTGAATTGTAAAATAATATATTTTCTAGATAAAAGGGTAGTGAACACAAACAAAATCTAGCAAACTAACCGCAAAACATCAAACACATGAACAATAAATTATGTTCTATAAAAGTTGTATTTCTTTGCAACATTCAGACAAATACATAATTAAGATTTGTTCATGGGTCTTTAAATATGTTACCCAAGATTGACTTTTGGCATTATCAATATGATGGATTATATGTTCTCCATTTCAATATCTGAAGCATTCTGGGTAATATTTTCAAAAGCGATACCAAAACGTTATGATTGGCTATCAACATATTAAGGAATGGAAATACAACGGTAATTTCCTTATGGGGATACGGACAACAATATTACCATAGCCCTTTAGATTCTGAAACGGCAAATTACTACATGTACATGCCTCCATATTCAGACCCAGAACAAGTCAGTGTTACCCTAATTTGTATGCTAATATACAGCATCCAGCTGATTGAGCAGGATTATCAACGTGCTAACTCACTGAAGTTGTTTGGCTCCGATCTGCCGATTTTTTTTATCGTACTACTTAAGGTACCAGGTGAGTGAGCGAATCGTTATACGATTTTGCAAGTAATAAGAACATGAGGATTTTGATTTGAACATCAAATAAATCATATGTAGAACTTTAATATTTCTAAATAAAGCAAATTGAGTATCCTGTCACGAGATAAAAGTATAAATGTATAGAATGCAAGTGAATTTCACAAAAAGTTTTTTTTTTATTTTAAATTGCCCTTTGGTAAAAATCTGTTTTTGTCTTTATTGTCATATAAGCATACACGATACTTATGACAAATACAAGTCATAAACATGAACACAAATAAAGTTCCCTGTGCTCAACTCCAAAGACTGTTTTATAAAGGAAAATGTTTTCCACGTGGTTTAAATTTAATGGATAGCAGGACCACTTATCAGAAAGATTTGGAAATATAGGATTATTTTTATTTTTGAATTAATGTTCAGATGGCGTTTTACAAAAAAAAAATCCCCAAAAAAACGCATACCGGATCCTTAAAATTCCACATATGCGAAAGAACTGTCAGAAGAAAATCAAGGAAGAATTTGGATTACTAATCATAATTTAAAATACCAGATACACGTTTTGTACGCCATAACGTCAGAAGGTTGAGCACGTTTGTCGTTTGATCGTCGATCAATTTCAACAAAATCTGTTGAAATCTATTTAAGAATTGAATGCTTCTTTTTATAATTTTGTTGGGGTGAAGAAGCGTTGACCGAAGTACATTTTGTATGAAGCGCGGAAGCATTAAATTTTTATGCTACATCTGAAATTAAGAGTTATATCAAGCTTATTGATAAATTAGGAAAATAACACATGAAGTATTCTCTTACTAAAGAATAAGTATTTTTGTATGACAGATCATGTTGGTGTCCTCTTCGCGGTCCGCGTTTAGACTGTGTTGATTTTTTTGAAAAATCAGAAACAACTACTTGGATTTAATCAACTAAAGCTTCAATTGCCGGATAAAATCCATATATGTACATTGTCGGAAATATAAACTGTATTTGTGACGTAACACATTTCTTCTGAACTAATGTCTCTGTCATACAATGTAATTATGACGTAACACATTTCTTCTGAACTAATGTCTCTGTCATACATGTACTTATGACATATCACATTTCTTCTCAACTAATGTCTCTGACATACAATGTTATTATGACGTAACAAAATTGCTTCTCAACTACTGTCTGTGCTATGCAATGTAATTATGACGTAACACTTGCTTTTCAACTAAAGTCACTGACACACAATGTAATAATGACGTAACACATTGCTTCTCAAGTAACGTCTCTGCTATACAATATAATTATGACGTAACACATTGCTTTTCAACTTATGACTCTGACAACTAATGTAATTATGATGAAAACTGTTGCTCCAGAACTAAGGTCTGTGCCATTAGATATATTTTTTAACAAAAATGTAAAATTATAGTATAACTAATCGAAGAATTCAAATATAGAAAAATATTCAGCGAGTGACCATACAACACATTAATTCACAAATGCGCATAGCGCATGAATTGATTATCAGTTTTGTTCGGTCACGAGTTGAATATTCTTTTATAACATTAACAATAGGCTTTTTTAATGGAAATACAGTCACTGTAGAAAATCAAGGAACTATATCTTTTTCTAGGCATACACAATTTGCTTTGCTGCAACGTCATCGACAACGTCTTGACAACATCTATGGTTGTTTGACATCAGAAGTGTGCAATTATCGAGTTTATTTTACATGTGAAATTATCGGTTTTCATTTCACTGGGAAATCACGGTAATTCATTGCAACCAATGTAATAAATTAAATTACTTACCAGCAATGCATTTGTATGAAATACTCAATGTTTCTGGTTGGTTCGCATCACAGTCACTATTAGCAAATACAGTATCACTAACTCCAACGCTACAGCTGGTTTCATCATCGCACAATCCTTGCACTACCGTCAGTGCATTAGGGTCAAGGCATTTACTTTTAAATTTGTATTCAGCATTTATTGTTTTTATTTTTTTGCCATTGGTGCAAGATATAGCTGATGTATCTCCTTGGCTTGACGTTTGTGTCAATAAAGCTAAAAATAAATATTAGTTTCAACATACGCTAGACAATACGTACGGCGTATCAAGTTATATAGACAATATAAAAATGAGAAAAAATGGTGGTAGTTTTCATCTTGGAAAGCTTTGTTTCTTTGAATCCCTTAATTAATGTAGGTAACCGAAGATGTAATTTTGAGTCTATTGATGAAACAAATTTTGATAAATTCAACTCTTGCCTTTGGATATATTCAGATAAGTTGATCAATTGCGAATAACTCGCCATTTCAGAATCTAATGATTGACTGATGTTTGCTTATCGTCCAGTGGCAAATATTTCATGTCAGAATCTAAAGAGTTCTGTGTAATATGTTTTATAAAAGCGTACAGCAAAACGTTGTGATTGACCAAACGCCCTAAACATTGAAAATTCAACGAATGAATTGACGTTATTTTCATTTTGGAGTACGGATAATGAGATAACCAACAGTTCTTCAAATTCTGAAACAGTTGTTACGCCAATGCGTTAATTTTCTTTTAATGGGAAAAATTTGCACTTAAATCTGAGAAAATAAATATATTTACGTATTTTTTTCCCGTAGAAAGAATATTGATAGCACATCTAGTAAGACCAAAACGGAAAAAACTGTCAACGACATCTATAACAAATTTCACTGCGTAATTTGATAGAACCTACATTTTATTTTTGAACCTCAAATGAATGACGTATTAAAAATATAAATCACAAAACGAAAACCAATTGCGAAACCGATAACCAATATTGATTTTAAATTTTATCAAATTCTACAAATTTAATCAAATTCTATAAATTTTGAAAAAAGAGAGGACCCCCTGTTTTAATCAATCACTTTCAGCAGATATTTCTTTTTTTTTCATTCAGAAAAAAATGTGATATTAAAATTAACTAAATCAACAAACCCATACACAATGAATTAAAACTATTGTTTGATCATCGATTACTTTGAACAAAATCTGTCTAAATCTATTTAAGAACTGAATGCCTCTTTTTATAATTTTATTGGGATGTAAAAGCGTTGACCGAAGTACATTTTGTATGAAACGCGGAAGCATTATGTGTTTATGCTACAACCATAAAATTACGAGTTATATCACGCTTTTCGTTTGTTTTTCTATGCATTATTTTTACATTGTCTACGGAAAGCACATGCAATCATAGCTGTTGTATAGTCAGCCAATCAAAATTACGGATTCTAAAGAAATATACATTATTTATACTTACTACTTATACAGTCGTATTTTATAGTAAACGTTTGATCTCTAGATAGGTCACAGTCTGAAGTAAACGTGTCGCTATTCACCGCTAGATCGTAACTTTGTTTGCCATCTGTTAATCCCTGTAAAGTCGTCAATGCGTTGGCGTCCCCACATGCCGGCTCATTATTATTTCCATAAAACGCAGATTTAACATCGATTGAAGAGCCCGACCCACATTCAAGAGTAAGCACATCCCCATCAACTCCGTCAAGTTTCGTAGCACCATCTACAATATAATATACCGATTATGCCAGATATGACATTTTCTTTAAAAAATTACAAATTACTTCCATTATGCTACAGTAGTTATGTCTTTAAGCTAATAAATATAATGGAAAAATTTAACAATTACTATCCACACTGATCTGTGTCCACACTTGTAAATATAATGGAAATATATATGGTTATCATTTTTCTATTAAAATCGATTTCTTTTGGTTCAAGTTCAATATACTGAAGGTGTTTCGCATATTTCTTTGTTTAGCTCACCTAGCCCAAAGGGCCGGTGTAAGCTTTTGCCATCACTTGGCGTCCGTCGTCTGTCGTGTTCGTAGTCCGTCGTCCGTTAACCTCTACGAAGATCATCTCTTCTGAAACTAATGGGCCATAGTTAAAAAAATGCAATTTTTGTCAATTATCTTGAAAACCGCTATATATAGAGAAAATCTGACAGGGCAAACAGTATAATAATAATAATAATAATAATAATAATAATAATAATAATAATAATAATATCTTTATTTAGAGAGAGTAACTCATTTGGATTACACCAATTTTAAATAAGGCTCTCTTAATACAATAATATTTACATTAAAATACACAATACATATTCAATAATAATGATAAATAAAGATGTAATACAATTTGAATACAATAAACAATTATTATATATGGCATTACAGTACAAATATCATGGTAATGTTAAAAGTACATAGATTTGTAGTTATGTTTAAATTCTAATACTGTGTTTGATTTTTTAATTGAATCAGGAAGAGCATTCCATACTTTTGGTCCATTGTACGAGAAACTAGACTTATACAACTCTGTATTTTGTTTTGGAATTATAAAATTATCTGAGGACGAAAATCTCGTATTGTATTTTTTGGTTTGCAGAAGCTGATAAAATAAGACTGGACATATATTCTGGAGCTAAGCCATGTTTTGCCTTATACATTAGTAATGATTTATGATAATGTATTCTTTGTGTAATCGGCACAATGTTATATTCGAGAAATAATTCGCTTGAAGATTTGGTGTAATCATGTTCGTCTAAAATTATTCTTGCTGCCCTCTTTTGCAGTTTTAGTAAACTATCTAATAGAAAGTAATTACAGTTTCCCTATATAGAACAACAATAATCTAAGTGAGGTAAAACGTAAGCGTTATAGAACATTTGTCTAGCTTTGTGATTTAAATATTTCTTTATCCTTTTTAGTAAAGCTAAAGAAGAGTTAACCCTTTTTATGATATAATCAATATGAGAAGACCAAGATAGAGATGCATCAACAAAAATCAAAGTATCAAAGTGATGAATTCTGCCTATGGTTTATTGACATCAGAACTGTCAGACAACTTCATATAAAAGTTGTTTTCCTAAAAGGACGACTTTTACCATTTTTTTTTCTTCATTTTTGATCATTATCTCTTAGATTATAAATCGACAAATAATTTAAATATAGAAACTATCAGCAACACAAGATCTATAAATAAGTCAAATGACTGAAATCGGTAGTCGACTTCTTATTGAAGTTATTACCCTTTTATGACGTTGTTTCCCTTGTTTTTGGTATTTTGCCTTTTCACCTGAAAACTATAATAGTTAGATAGGAACTTTTGATCCCCAAAATAGTCAGCACGACGAGATCTACAAATAAGTTTTTCATGAACGAAATCGGTAGTCGACTCCTTATTGAAGTTATTGCCCTTTAATGACGATTTTTTGGCATGTTTGCCTATTAGCTTGAAAAATATAATAGATATATAGAAACTTTTTACAACAAATATGACAAGATCTACTAATCAGTCAACATGACCGAAATCGGTAGTTGACTACTTATTGAAGGTTCCCTTTAATGACGATTTTTACCATTTTTTTTTGCATACCTGAAAACTATAATATATTGATAGAAACTTTAAATAGCAAAAATAACCAGCAAGACAAGATCAGCAAATACATCAACATGAATGAAATTGTCACTTAACTCTTTTAAGTTAGAGTTACTAGTATTCCTTTTATTGATGTTTTTTACTAAAAAGTGGCCATTGTTGAAGATGCTGGTGAGCGATTATGATAGATCATTTTAGATATTTGTTGAGAATTCCTGTTTGCAGCGAAGAAAATCTACATACGAGTTATTGCTAATTTGGAGACAGGCCCGGAAAGGTATCAGAACCCTTAATGCCAATTTAATGACTTCCGCAATGTAAAAACAAACTTCTCCATGAAATATTTAATGTCCTTTCAATCAAAAAATTTACTAGAGAATATATATTCCTTATGGATTTTTTCGAAATTTATAAATAACAAACACGGTCTATTTAATCTGGCCTAATCTTCCTTACATACAAAGAAGCAACTTAGAAAACAGACGATTCCATACACGACCTTTGACCGCTAACCGTAATAGTGGCAAGAACGCCTTTTTTTTAGTTTCTCAATTAAGATGACGTTTAGTAACTAGAAATTGAACATTTAAAAAAAACACTAGAAGTTATAGATTAATTTATCCACCCCCACCTTGGCCTTCTTTCTGTGAGGCAGAATTTCCCTTTCATCCTTTCTTGGGCACGATATATTACTTCGAGTTCTTACTAATTCACTTTATTCATTTCCAAAGTTCTCCTGGCCCGAATGTAAATCAGATAGTAGTTCCCTTATTATTATTGAATGTGAACTACTGATGCTGGACGGTCTGTTCGAGGATGCTTTCCTGAGTAGATTGATTGTTTGATCTTTGCTTTACGTCCCAATGGCAAAAATTATATGCATAATCAGGATGAAAACAAATTAACAATAAAAGTAATAGTTAAGATTTGAAAAGATAGTCGACCGACCGAGATGAAAGGACAGAATGTTCGACTACCAATGGAACATGAGGATACATATATCATGAACGTTAAAAGATCGTGTGTCTATATGACGTCACTTTTCTTACAATACGCGGTTTAAACTGGAATCCACTTGTATAACGCTACACTCAAACAACACTGAAAGTGTAGTAGTCAGCCGAGAACCAGCTTAGACGCGGTTGTGCATTTATACATCTTGCAAAGTCAAACAGGTGACCTTCATTCACACGTATTTTACTTCCAGGTAGGAAGAGTCCAAAGATGACTACATTTCTTAGATTCCCCGGTCATTCTTTGGAATACACCTTATCGCTATTCCCGCTTGACCCGAGAATCTGTCCCGCTTGAACTTTTGACGTCATACAACAATCACTTTTCCATTGTGGCGTCAGATATTTTCTATTATGACGTCAAAATTTTACGGGAACTTTTGTGATGTCCAGTAATGGCGGACAAATAGCGATAAGGTGTATGAACACAGACAGAGATTCGGCACGGGTCTTGAGTGGCTGATACGTTTTGATTCCTAACAGTTACTGTTAATTTATGATTTATGTTTGTAATGGGGAAATATGTTGACATTAGTGACTGTCAATCCAAGATAATTGTATTACTTTCATTTTCAATGTGTTTTTTTTTTTTTTTAATTTTTTATCTTTAGCACTGCATGTACTAGTATAAGACTTAGCCGTTCCATAGCTTTTAATCAAGTAGTTCACAGGAACGTGTAATGATATAATACTATATATCTTTCGTAAGTAAAGAATTTTTAATCTTTTAACCTCTGCAATTTTCCCTGAGAATTTCGTTTTTTACAAAAAAAATATACTTACAAACTGCTGCTACGAAAATCGAAAATACGAATAAAATCTTCATAAACATTTCTTTATCCTGAAAATAAAAAGAAAAAAATACGATTTCATTTAAGTACATTCTCTATTTTAAAAATATCAATCTAAATCGGTCAGGCATTGCCTTCTAAAGAAAAGATTGTGTTCATGAGAAATAAAATCATATAAGAAAATGAAAAGGTAAAACATCCACAAAACACCAGACAAAATATGTAACAAAACAAAAGAATATACAAGTATAAAGCAGCATGCATTCATATTCGAACGCAGATGCTTTGTCTTGGTAAGAAATTAATGCTTTTTTTTGTAATTTAATTGGGGTGTAAAAGTGTTGACCGAAGCACATTTTGTAGGAAGCGCAGAAGCACGATCAACACTTTCACACCCCAATAAAATTACAAAAAGAAGCATTCATTTCTTATGATTACATTTTTATGCTAACAAGACCATAAAAAATAGTTTTATCAAGTTTTTCTTTTATTTACCTGTGCACTTTTTTGTGGAAGCACGTGTCATCACGAATGTAACATTTCATTTTGATATGAAGGTTAATTATTGAATTACACACGATTGTTGTGAAATTTGAAAAAAAGGCAGGACAGAAGTTTTGAGTAAAAAAATAGGCAGGATGAGCAACTTGGCAAAAAAAAAGGTAGGATGACAAATTATGTATAAAAAGTCAGGATAAACTAATAAAAAAAAAGGCAGGACCGAACAAAGTGAAAAACGTTTTTTTTAATCTTCCCCCCCCCCCCCCCCCCCTATAAAAATCAAATGGTAGCTCCCTAAGAGCAGAAAATAAATAACCGGTAGGAAAACTCACAATCCTAGTCAATTAAGATTGGAGTCGAACGCACCCGCCGCGTGACTACTTAGACCACTCGGTCCTCTACCTCCTACTCCACAGAATATCAAATGGTCGTCCCCTAACACACACATATCACACCTCTTATAATATTTCTTTAAGTTCATATTCAACAAATAGTTTACCCTAATATGACCTTGGAAGGCAATTCTCTTATTTTCGACCACTGTGTACTATGCTTTTAGCACGTACATGTAATAGAACCCATACATTAAATCTCCTAACTATCGAGACGTAGGAGTGCTGTTTTTGTAACAAACAGCAGCATATTTTAAAATAAGAAGTATCTATAACAATTTTAGAACAGAATCTTTCACCAAGAGCCGGTTACAAACGATAAGTGGGACAAACATTGACACTTAAATATTCGATTTTTAGTGCTGTATTTTTATGGTTATGATATTTTTTATATTGGACTGTTTTGATAATATCACGTGTATGATTTTTCTTTGCTATGAATAGATTTATGTCGCTAAAATTGGCATTGATAATATCACTTTTTGCTAAAATGTGTAAAATAAATACGGCGCTAAAATGGGCTATACTTTGGTGCTAAAACGACCGATAATTTTCGCTAAAATGGCATACCAATGCGTTAAAATGCCCTATTAATGCGCTAAAATATCCGCCGGTCTAAATATTTAGAGTGATTTAGAAAATAATCTTTCTAAAAATAATATACAAAATGTTTCTTTAGTGTAAAAGTCAAAGATATACTAGCACGAATAACAATAAAGACTTACTTATTTGTGGCCTGTCTGCGAGAGAGAAAAGCTTCAATAATTTTGAGATATTTATTCAATATAAATATATATCCTTAAGAATTACATAAGCTGATTTAGCTTAAAACTTTTAGTTCCTTTACCTTAGGAAGTATTATAATGCGGACTACGGGATATATGTTATGGGGGTTGTTTTTTAAAGGATGCGTGTTCGAGTCAACTATTTAAGATAATCTTTTAAATCTTTGTATTGAATGGGCTTTGGCACAACTATTTTATATCGTGGCTGAAAAATATCGACAAAAAACAAACAAAAATAAGAAATAGAAGCAAAGAAAATAAAGATTAAAAAAACGAAACAAAACACAATATACAACAAAAACAACAACTATAGGAATATATTTATCAATTCCTATTACTATTTTATTACTATTTTATATTAAAGTATATTATTGATTGATTGGTGTTTAACGCCACTTTCAACACTATTTTGCTATTTATCGGCAATCAGTTTTATTTATTGGTGGAGGAAGCCATAGTGCTCGGAGAGAACCACGGACCTTCGGTAAGAAAACTCACAATCCTAGTCAATTAAGATTGGAGTCGAGTGCTTCTGCCCCATGTGGTATTCGAACTGACAACCCCGGTGTTGACAGGCTAATGTATATAAAGTAGAAAAATTGTTCTAATAAGCAGTTATATGTTACAGTAATTATTGATTTTCTAAAATTAGAGAACAAGTTTATTTAGAATATATGCTCATGGTCTTAAAACACACTGTGAAGCATAACCACCGGATATAATATTTTACGTTTTGCTGACAATTAAAGTTTTGTGAAACTGAAACTTATAATTTAATTACTATTTAGCGCTGATTATGATCCTTAATTGGCTTCAGATGCTGATCCAAGATTTTGAAAAAGGGATGCATGCGGCCCCCTAACTAGACAAAGTTTGGAGTGGAACTGGTAAAAAGTCTGGATTATCCATGAATGTAGCTCAATAAAGGGGGACCGGGCATCAAGTCCCATCCCCCACCCCCTCCCCCCCCACCCCCACCCCCCTTGAATCCGCCTCTTGACTTTCTCTCTTTTAAAATTGTCAGAATCGGATAGAGGAGTACCTGTTCAACGAAGCATGTGACGAGTTCAAACTTGTTAAAACACATTTATCCTTCAACTATTCATTTGACGTATCGTAGAACAATTTTTAAAGGTAAATCATACTAGTATATAAGTATTTTGAAATACATACCTGTATCTTGTATATACAAAATTAATCCAGTTTGATTCCTTAAAACTTATTTGACAGAGAGACAAGATGTCTCTTTCGATCATATACCAGACAAGCATTGACAAATGCGTGTACAGCTGGTACAGAAACAAATAATGATAAAACAATTTGGACACATGACACATAATTGAAAATCAGAAGTATTTTTTTGCTCAAAGTAGTATTTGAAGGAATATCCCCTGGACAGGCAGCAGACATGGTGAATGAATGTTGAACTGACTCAAAGTATTTTTCATTTGACCTGTTTGTTCTTAAGATAGTTTTATAAAATAATTGAAGAAATTGATAGAGGGCTGTCTGGTGTTTACATATTAAACGTAGGACACCCCCCCCCCCCTCCAAAAAAAAAAAAGACACAAGGTGACAAAGTATATGATGTACTTAAACGTCATATCAATTCAATATATATCAGAAATATATTTCGTTTAGGGGTGTAAACCTGATCAGTTTTTGATATATTAAACAGTTGATGGTATACGCAGGTGGATCCCTACTAAAAATTCTAAAGTATGAAATTAATGGTCTACAAAAAATGTAGGTGTAGGGATAAGAACAGTTTTCCGGATATTAAAAAACCAAAGATATGCAAGGGTCATGATATGTCCACCGGAGACAAAACCAACAGTAAATTAGAAATGTCTTATAAAGGCAACTTATTTCTTCAAAATACCAAATAATATATTAAAGGTTGCAATTCTGTAAATATAGACAATGCATATTCCATAGGTACTCCTTTTACGGCGAAAACTGTGCACCTTTTACTAGTTTGATGTTTTGTAAAAAAAAATATATCCTAGAATGGGAAGTTAATGTGTACTTCTATTTTTTTAAAGGTGAAAACATAGGGCTGTGCGGCATATTTTCAACATGAATATACCTCGATCTTCTAAGAGTTTAAACTCATACTGAAATTCTATACTACCCCTTTCCTCACTTTGGGTCTTCCTCAGAATTTGATTTGGTCGCTATCCATGTGTATTTATACTGGTAAAATTCCCAAGTTGTGTCTCTATGGGATGGAACATAGAAATCATATCTGGGAACCAGAAGGTAAACAAAACAAAATATCTGTGAATATTATATATCTCCCTAAAAAGTGGCGTGGCGTGTGAAACAGCTGTATTTACAAAAACCTGTATGAGGGGTGACGAACAACCCTTGGGGCAAACCTATGGTTGAGATGAAAATATATAAGCAAAAATATATTTATATGGTTTTAAGACGGATATATTATACACATAAATTATTTGACCAAGAACGTTAAGGATTAAGGTCAGAGGTCAAATTCCACGATACACTACACACCTCTTGTGCTGCACCTGTTTGCCAAATATCCAAAGTCTATGTCTAAGTCAAGTGTTGCAAACGTAAATTGAAAATGGCTAATGTAGAGTAGAATTTTATACTTGTAGAAGGAGTAAGTGGAGCAATCAGATATCGCACAACTATAGCATTTAAATAATGTGTCTTGTCCAGAAATGGTCATAATAATTAACATGTTCCAATCCACCTTTGAAATAATCTTAAAAGTTCAGGTAAACCACATGATGTTCTACACGGTAAACGGTTTAAAAGCATGCGATCGACATTCTCAAAGTGTGTGAAAGCTTTAGGTGGGAACTGTTTTGGCCTTATATCCAAAGTCTATGTCTAATGATAAAAAAACATTAGAAAAAAGGTCAAGGTCATATGAAGATCAAGATGATGGTACCACATCCTCTTAAGGAAATGGACGTTCATGCCTCATATCATATGCCACTGTCATATGATGAAAGGTATGGTCCCAATTAGGTTGTTTGAGTAGAACGTCGGAGCGAAATATCACATGCAGAGTATAAATGAGAAAATAGATTATGTTCAGAATGTGTTATTGTGGTACGACAGTAAAAAAACATCCCAGATCTCCCATGAAAATAATCAAATAAAAATAACTCTATAATATTGTTAACTACACATGATGGCAAACAAAACAATCCTGCAAAGTATGGGGGCTTTCTGTCAAACTGTTTCAGTGTAGGAGTTGCTTTCACAGTGTGTTATTGTCGCTAAACTGTAAAAATGTTCAAAGTCCGATAACTCCTGTAGAAATGGTCGATCCCAAAATGGCGGTACAATTTAGACAACTATACATGATGGCAAACAATCCTACAAAATATGGGAGCTTTCAATAATACGGTCTTAGAGGACTTGCGTTCACAATGTGTTACACGTATCGTCAAAATACATATAAAAATGGTCCAAGTCCCATAACTCCAGTAAAAATGGTTGAACAAGATTAGTGGTGAAGTATGGCCAACTACACATGATGGCTAACAATCCGACCAAGTATGATAGCACCCAATAAAACGGTCTTAGAGGACATGCGTTCACAAGGTGTTATTGATATAATACTTTTAAAAAAATGGTCCAAGTCCCATAACTCCTGTAAAAATTATCGAATCAAAACTATTAATGTAGAAGAGTGAAGAAAATATAAAGACAAATAATCATATCACATGTGAAAACTGTGTGTCAAATGGTCTCTGGGTAGTGATGTGTGACGGACAGACGAACGAATATCATTATTCCATACGTCTCTGGCGCGACACCAATGACCAATGAACCATGCAAATGAGGTCAAGGTAAGATGAAACATATCATTATATATGTTCACCTTAGTACAATTCTAAAATATTTTATGGATTGATGAATAAATTGGTATTTAATGTGCGGTAGCAAATATTACATACCTATAAAAGGGACAAACATGTAAATAACTTTGATATGAATCTGAATCCTGCATTTTACTTTAGACTAACATGCTGAGCAATATTTTAAGGTATTATTTCTTTACACATCAGTCTACAGGACGACAGGTTTTGCAACCAACATTAATAATGTAACTAGAAATCTTGCATAAACATTGTATCAAAGTCCAAGAAGAATTGTAAGAGTGGAAAGGATCAGAATAATTTTGCTGTTAAAGTATATTTGCAATATTTGGCCATAACACCAATAAATTTTTTTTTAAATTTTTAATAATTGAGATTCAGACTAATTTTAATCTTGTTCATCGTCAAAATTTGTAATGTTGTTGTTAACCATTCTTCAAAAGGAAATCACCAATTCACCAACATTCAAACTGACTCCATTTTCGGAAAATGACATCTGTAACAAACATATTAAACTTTTAGCTACTTCTTTACAAGCAGAACCAATTACAATGAAAGTTCCAACTATGTACTGGCTTCCGAAGCTGCACAAAACACCTTACAAATATAGATTTATTTCGTCTTAAAGCCATTGTTCCACTACTAAACTGTCTATTCTACTGACTAGTACACTTGGTACAATGGTAATAAATTGTTCAAATAAGGACTTTGAAAATAGTGGAATTAATTACTTTTGGAGTGTTAAAAATTTGTTGGAAGTTCTTGATAAATTGCATGCTTATATTGGTTATTTTGAATCTGTTCAAAGTTTTGATTTTTCTACCCTATATACCACTTTGCCTCATAATCTTATTAAGAAAAATTCACACACCTAATTTAATAGGCATTTAAAAAGACAGAATGCGAATATATATGTTCTAACACTTTTAGGTCATTTTTTAGTAACAACAGACAAAAGAACTATGTCAATTGGACCTGCTTTGATACTATTACTGCCCTTGACTTTTTACTAGATAACATTTTTGTTCGCTATGGAGATCCGTATATCGTCAAGTTATCGGAATTCCAATGGGGACTAACTGTGCACCACTTATTGCGGACCTGTTT